ACATTTCCTCACTGACACATCTCTTTTCTCCTTATTGAGAGAAATTGTGCGTGAGGTACAGAGGCATTTCATTTAGCCTGAGGCTTATTAATTTCTCTTTTGGTGTGAAGGGGCCTTTATAGTTACCAAAAATATAACTTTTGGATTTTTTGTGATTAGAATTAAATAAGCAAGCCCAGCTCAGGTGACACAAAGTAATGCAAAAGTAATGTAATGCATTACTTTAGTTACTTTTTTATGGAGTAACGCAATATTGTAATTACTGTTAAAAGTGGAAATTAATATGCCAACAAAATGAAACGTTAATTTTGAAACTGGCTTTATCCAGTGTTCAGATTTATGTTCTTGAAATGTACGCAAATAAGTGCGCATTCACATTTAGCGTGTTTGAAACTATCGTACTGAGCTGGCACAGTGTGTAGGAGCTTTACCTGCAGGATGGACACCGTCTGTGAAACGTGATGCTGTTCCATGGTGGATGTGGAATACAGAGCAGCCAGCGGATGGTCAAACTTCTGCAGATAACTGTTACTGTAGCCGCGGTGGTCCAGGTCATGACATAAGCAGGCAATCAGCAAGCCTTTCCTCTGTGTGAGAAGTCAGTGACAGTAAAGGACCGGTTTACACCAAGAATTATAACTACAAAGGTAGCTATATTGTTAACTATATTAGCATCCACACCAGTAGATAATAATGTTCTGTTTATTATAATTGTGCGCTGAGGTTGAGTTGTCTAAAGCTTTAAATGTTCAAGCTCTTTAAACTGTAATCTGAATGGCTGTTGAAATTGTATCGCTCCTAAGCTGTAAAAAAAAAACATTCTGGAATGGATTTGTTCCTCTGCTGTGGTGTAGACTTCACTATTCTTACAAAATTAAAAGGATTATTAAAACTCATAGTTATAGTTATCTTTACAGTTATTGTGTTTGGTGTGAACAGGCCTTAACTCATTTGTTTTAAACATAGGGTAGCTTTATCAGTAACAAGCTCATTTTTCCTTCAAAAAAGTAGGGTAAAAGTTTAGTTACTGGCTTTTGCTCCTATAACTATGTTTCTCACTATAATTAGTGTTTATTCTATATTTGTCCTAGGAAATATATTTATATTTAATGTTGTCATCCTCATTGTTTTTCTACTAGGCACTGTAATGAATTATATATACAGTATATTATGTAATTAATTATATATATATGGAATACAGGTACAGGTTTGATGGTATGGTTACTTTTAAAGGTGGGTTAAAGGGTAGAGTCAATCGTATAATTAGATGCGATTACAGAAATTGATTACAGATGTAATTACATGCAGGTATTTTTTAAGTAAATGTACAATGTAAAAACATGTATGTACACAATAAGTGTATTGCATTAAATTATTAATTTATATGTTAGTACAGAAATGCCACATAAAGTGGGACCAACATAAGTCACAATTGTATCTTTGTCATAATAATGTTCAATAATTGGGTCTTTGTTGTTCAGCACACTGCGCCAGGCACTTGTTGGTTCATGAATATTAAAAATGTCACATGACATTTGCCCTGAGTGATTTGCTGAAAGGCATTGCTGGCGAGTTCTAGCCATTGTGGGATTGCGGTTTGCTACTTACACATGGTCAGTCAACAAAATAAACCTTTCTTAAATGTAATGACTACCCCCAAAAATGGAGGAATGAATTTAGTAAGTGTATGATAGTTGCTGCACCCTTCAGTTACTGTAGTTGACTTTTTGTTTGAGTAGTTTAGCATTTTTCTCACTGATGTGAGATGCATTTTTTATAAGTTCACTGTAAATGCTATTATGAGAACGACACTGACCTCAAGCTCAGTGAAGATCCCAGTGGTTTTTAGCAGGATGGCGTACATGCAGTGTGCCACCGTCACAGCATGTTTCCAGTTGTGGTATGGAACTCGTCTGTAATTTTTCCGCACTGACATAGTGAAGCGACACAGTTTCTCCTGCTCAAAGCTTTAATTACACAAAGAAAGTGTGATTGTACACGTTTGCCTTGTCAAAGCAGTACTGTACATGAGTGTTTCTTCATCTACGGGCGCTTTTATTTCCAAAGGATTGACTTTTATTAAGACAACATGTTTAAAAGTTTTGTTATATTAAGGTTGCTTATTTTTTATTTCTTTTCAAATGCCTTTTATGCATATATTTTATCAATCTACGAAAATACGAAAATCATTCTTAAATGTAAATTATATCTTCATCATTAATCACAGTAAAAGCAATTTAAACACTTACACAAATTATTCAAATATATTTTGTATGCAAATGATTCACCTGTCATTTGCAGCACCAACAGTTTTGCCCAAATAAAGATTTTAGTTAGTTTAAAAGTTAGTTTACTAAGAAATTATGCAAAATGTAAAAATCAGATTTTCATTTAGGATAACAAACTATGCATTTAGCCTTAGCAAGACATTTTATTCCAAACAAATAATTTCCTTCACTGCTCTTTCTACTATATATGCATTCATTTCTCTTATAGGATACGTTGTGACAAAACACACAGAGCTCTTAAAAATCGACACATTCTTACCCGTTTTTTCCACATGAATTGTGAACCATGTATACAAATATTGCAGGCCAAAGTTCCTCAAAAGGAGCAATGTCAAAGTGAAACCTTAGACAGAAATATGACACAGTTAGTTTGCAATTCAAATCTGCACAGGTGAAATATGAGCTAAAAAAAGTGTTCAATACATCCTGATTACAACTGCACTCTTATGTAATATCTACTTGTCTACACATGAAAATAACACCAAACCAATATATTTATAACCAATAAATAACACCAAATCAATATATTTAAACCAACCAATATATTTTCTAATTCTCCTAACCTAATAAATAGACAAATAATGTTCGGTCACAGCTATTCAGTGTGGCTTGTCCAGTCAGGTTTTAGAGTTGCAAAATTAAATAACTACTAAGTAACCAAATTACTAAAAGCCATTATGTATGTAACAGTGATCTTTGACGTATGAGAGTGTAAACTCACAGTTCGATCTCTTTATATATGGCTGAAGGGAGGGAGAGATGTGTGAGGGTCTTCCACTCCTCTGATGTGCAGATGCTGTGGTACGAAAGCTTCTCCATCGTCACCCGGTAAATGCACTCTGAATGTCTTATCCGGTGATACATCTATACACAAACACATGCATACACATACACGCCATGTGTCTACGCAGATGCAAAATATAGATGCAAAATATCTAACCCTTTGAAAATATTGTGGTTGTATTTATCTAAATGGACATCCATCTATCTATCTATCTATCTATCTATCTATCTATCTATCTATCTATCTATCTATCTATCTATCTATCTATCTATCTATCTATCTATCTATCTATCTACACACCATAACGGCCGAACATGTGTCATTCATGTTCAAATAATGAACGGCACTATTAATAATGTGCTCACCTTCATGTTGCCCTTTAACTTCAAATGGAACAATTCATGGTTTGAGAGTTGGGTCACTCTCCCTCTCTTTACTGTAGCTACAACTTATATTTATGGCACTTTGGCATAGCAATTGCTTGAATACACAGCTACAAGATCAAAATGTGATACCTTATTGCGCAAAAAAAAACCTGTCACTCATTAATCAAAACATCTGCCTGCTATCGCTCTTGATTGGCTAAAAGTGCGGGCTGGTTCACATCAACAACGACTCTGCAGTGTAGTGCAGTTTAGTAACGTCATGATGACTGATTAGATGGAGTACACGCACACTTGGGTTTTGTTTGTTAACCAATTAGAAAACTGCCAAACTGATCCCAAACCAGCCCAAATCCACCCAAACCAATTTTAACTCTACAAAATCAAACTCAAAACCACCCAACTGGGCAGAAATCCACCCAATCTGGCAACACTGTGAGACCCCACAAAGGACCAAGTGTCGGAAATCTCTCGTAGACACTCCTAAGCCTGTTTCTTCCAAACATTCCCATTCTCTAGAAGGTGTGCTATTGTGACCAACGGATGTTTTATTAGACTCCAGGTCTGCACACTTACATTTGCACAGTGTAAGGCCAAAGCACAGAAGACGGCGAACATCTTAAAGTTGTTCTCATCAGTTTTAGTGAAGGCACTTCCTCCCAGCTTGTTCACCATTTGTACAACACCAATCACGGTCCCGCGGCTGACTATCGGCATGCACAGGATATTCCGCGTCGTGTAGCCAGTGTAGAGATCTACTTCTCTGTGAAAAGCGGAATAGAAGACAAAGAAATGCACACACACACACCCATGTTGGTACTGGTGGTTTACGGGGACTCTCCATAGGCGTAATGGTTTTTATACAGTACAAACTGTATTTAAAACCTACCCCTCACAGGAAACTTTGTGCATTTTTAGATTTCCAAAAAAACACCATTTAGTATGTTTTTTTAAGCCTTTTGAATTACGGGGATGCAGGTAGTGTCCTCATAAACCACCTTCATATTGTAATACCTGTGCCATAACCATGTCATTATACAAATTTGTGTCCTCATAAACCCCCCAAAGCAGTGCACACACACACACAAACACAGAGCTGAACAAGCATAGTGCTTGTATATGATTGAGGTAAACACACAACGGTTTCTAACGTTGGTTCATCTGGGTTTAGCATAATCACCTTATTGCAGATTTACACAAACCCTTTATCTGACATGTCCACTTTTAACATCTACAACCACAGACCACTGTGTGTCCACATGTCCAACTCAACAATACACCCATATCATGCACAAGCTCACCAAAACATTTTTACCCTAATTTGTTTAATATAAATGAACAATTCCATAATGCACAAATGTGACCCTGGACCACAAAACCTAAGGGTAAATTTTTCGAAATTGAGATGTATACATGATCTGAAAGCTGAATAAATAAGTTTTCCATTGATGTATGGTTTGTTAGGATAGGACAAGATTTGGCCGAGATACAACTATTTGAAAATCTGGAATCTGAGGGTGCAAAAAAATCTAAATACTGAGAAAATCTCCTTTAAAGTCATCCAAATTAAGTTCTTAGCAATGCATATTACTAATCAGAAAATAAGTTTTGATATATTTACGGTAGGAAATTTACAAAATATATTCATGGAACATGATCTTTACTTAATATAATAATGTTTTTTGGCATAAAAGAAAAATTTATAATTTTGACCAATACAGTGTTTTTTTGGTTATTGCTAAAAATTTACCCCAGCGACTTAAGACTGGTTTTGTGGTCCAGGGTCACAAATAGTTTTTAAATAACATATTATGACTATTATGAGATTTTTTTAATCATGGTGATAAGAATTTATACTTTATTTCTTTCTTTTTTTTTCTTTCTGTCTATTAATTTTGGATTAAAAGATGACAGGGTTTGTGCCATGACACTGTACCTTTACAATTCTAACAGTTGTCTAAAGAGCTCAAGGTGTCACAGTGCAAAATTGTGTATTACTGTACGTTACTTTGGTCATTCATCCAGCCTTAACTGCTTAATGTGTAACCTGGTTCTTAAAGGGGTCATATGATGCTGCTAAAAAGAACATTATTTTGTGTATTTGGTGTAATGAAATGTGTTTATGCGGTTTTAAGGTAAAAAACCCCCCATTATTTTCCACATACTGTACATTATTATTTCTCCTCTATGCCCTGCCTTTCTGAAACCTGTCGATTTTTACAAAGCTCATCGGTCTGAAAAGCGAGGTGTGCTCTGATTGGCCAGATATCCAGAGCATTGTGATTGGCCGAATACCTCAAGCGTGTGACGGAAATGTTACGCCCCTTACCATACTGTGATGCCCTGTCCGGCCGGAGCGACGAGACAAAAACATTAAAACAGTCCAGCACCAAGAGCTTGTAACACTCCAAAGAGAAAGGAAACATTGAAATCGCATCATATGACCCCTTTAACAAAGTTGCTTAAAGAAATTTTGTGTGTTTTGGCATGAAAAATTAAAATAATTATTACCTGTTGAAACGGGGGTCTGCATAGGCATCCGGAATATTCAAAACTTCTCCTGTTCTCGCCACCTGGCCTGCTATTCCTTTCTCTATAGAAAACCTGGGGGTGAGTGTTTAATGTCAGTTACCAATGTATGAAGTATACTTAGACTCTGATATTTAGGGATGAAAACACACATCCGGTCACATCTCACCTTAAAAATAAAAATAAAATTCAAAACAAATCCAATGTTTATGACCATTATGATTTTTTGCACTGTGACATCACCACTGAGGACATTTTGCCCCAAATTGTCATTACTATAGAATGACAATATTTTACTTTTGAGTTTTTTAATTCTCATCATTTTTTTTTCTATTAAATAAAAATATTTTTCTTGCATTACAGTTATGCGAAGAGTGGAAATAATGCTTATTTGTCTTGAAAATCATAATACAATGCAAAGATTATTTATTGGTCCTACAACAGGCGGCATTTTCTTCATGGAAAATATAATGCATTTATATTACTTTTGATTTTGAGATGAAATATGTGCAAGACATGTTCTTGACAGGCTTTGTGAAGTTTGGTGATGCATTAAACTATCTCAGAGTGTGTTGTACAACCTGCTGTACTACATTTGCTGTAATCAGAGATTCAATTCTGAATTTTGTGACTTTACGTAACTATTTTTTTTCTATGCAAGAATCTAAAAATAAATATAAATACACACAAACAAACACATTCAGCTGGTAGTTTATGAGTATGTAAAGACTCAAATATGACTGAGTGAGGATTTCTGTATGCTCACCTAATTTCTTTGGTTTTCCTAAAGACAGGTTTCCCTTCATTCTCCTCCCCGATGTCAAACAGGTCAGAGTACAGCTCTTTATTATTGTGATCTACCTGGAAGAGCGCACATCTGTCTGCATTAACTAGGTTTTTTGCATATATCTGAAACACAAATAAACATGCATTTCCTTAATGACATTTCCCCATGACAGAATGCAACATGTGCATGCTTGCTGAAGAATTCATTTGAACAACATTACTATGCAAGAGTGGTTAATCTGCAGTCTATCAGCATCGATAACCAGAATTAGTTTGGGTATGTTATTCAAGCGTTCCATATAATCAAGCCTTGTTACATTATATAGTACATTTTGAGTAAATGTTGTGTGACTTAGATCTTAAATTCTATTATATATGCAATATGTTAGCCACTGAAAAAAACGGTCAACCACTACATGTGTCTGTGTGAGACTAGCCACTGAGGAACTGATTTCACAACCTTGTGGCACATCGTGTCTTCTCCTCTCCAAGATAAACATGCTTTATGAAACTGCTGACAAGTGAGAAATCGCTTCAAACTAAGAAAGACATTTTATTAATCTAACTACTTAAATATTACCTCCGCTTTTGGAAGTATGTGTTTGGAAAAATCTGAATGAATTCCTGAGAGGGATGCCAAGAGCTCAGAGAGATGCTGGAGCCGTGTCAAACTGACTTTCTGTCCCCTCCCTGACCTATTTGCATCACTTCCTGTGCTGTTTTGCTCAACATGAAGGAGGGGACAGAGACCTGAGGGGGCCAGAGATCTGATACTTGGAGTGTATGAATATTTGTGTTTGTGTAAGTGAGATCTAGAGAACACAAACATGTGCGTAAATGAGAAAAATAATATTTAACAACAAGCCCAAGGCTGGTGGGTTGAGCACAGAACATGGCAAACAAATGAGAGAAGGTCTTTCTTAGCACACATTTCTTTGGCGTTGATCGTGACACAGATGAGCCACAGAAGAGGAGCATGTTTGTCCTCAGGACCAAGCATATGACCTTACTGAGAGAAGGAGAACCTACTCACCATGATATGTTCAAGTAGAGAATCTATTGCCACTATGTTGTCAAAGTATGTTCTGTTTAAAATCGAAAAGGAGGGAAAGACCTGTCATTTTAAAGAGATAACCATATGATACAAAGACACAGTATAACACAAATGCATATATATATATATATATATATATACATATATATATACATATATATATATTCTTCATATATAACATTGACTATTTATTATAATGTTAAATGCCAATAAACATTGAAACATTTCAGTATTATGGAAAAATTTAGATAGTTTTGCAGTGTGACATTCTTTTCATAATAATTAAGTTTTTTCTTACTGTAATTACTGTAATGTGCTTAACTTTCATGAAAAAAGTAGGCTTAACAGGCTTAGTTTTATTTAAGTAACATTTATTTTTATCATGATTTTGTTATGTGTTCTTGACACATTTCATGAGATTTTTCAAGAGATTCGTGAGATTCAAAAGACTTTTTCATGCATAAACTTGCTTACTTTGACACATCTAGGAGAAAGTCATTGAGTTCCGTCTGTTTGGCAAGACCTCTGCAGACCTGTGAGCGAAAAATGAACAAGAAGCTTGAAGACAGCAATCACGGCAAGTCAATGTTTAAATTGACATGTCTTTGTAACTGATCACCAGCCTTCAATTAGATATTTTTAGAAAGTCGTGATCTATAATCTCAGTGTAAAACACTGATAATGCACAAAAATATAGCACACTCTCAGAAAAAAAAAGGTACAAAAGCTGTCAGTGGGGTGGTACCTTTTCAAATGATGTGACATTTAGGTACTAATATGTATTTTTAAGGTACAATACTGTGCAAAAGTCTTAGGCCATTACTAATTTCACCAACAAAAAATGGTTTTAAACCAGTTATTTCTATGCTGTAGTCTGCCAGCAGTTTTTCCAAACATTCCTTTTGCCATTAATTGTAATAATCCAGTAAGATTTTTGTATCCACAAGGAGTCTGACAACAGCACTGGTTGCCGTCAGACTCCTAAACATGCAAAAATCTCGCTGGATTATTACGATTAATGGAAAAAGGAATGCTTGGAAATGTAAACTGATAATTCCTACTGGCACACTACTGCAAAAGATAGAAATAACTGTCTTAAAACCATTTTTTTTGTGGGTGAAAAGACTAATGGCCTTTTGCACAGTACTGTATATGCACCCTTTAGTGGTAAATAAGGTACAAAGGTGTACCTTTTATTTTTAAGGTACAATACTGTGCAAAAGTCTTAGGCCATTACTAATTTCACCAACAAAAAATGGTTTTAAACCAGTTATTTCTATGCTGTAGTCTGCCAGCAGTTTTTCCAAACATTCCTTTTGCCATTAATTGTAATAATCCAGTAAGATTTTTGTATCCACAAGGAGTCTGACAACAGCACTGGTTGCCGTCAGACTCCTAAACATGCAAAAATCTCGCTGGATTATTACGATTAATGGAGAAAGGAATGCTTGGAAATGTAAACTGATAATTCCTACTGGCACACTACTGCAAAAGATAGAAATAAAAACCTTAAAACCATTTTTTTTTGTGGGTGAAAAGACTAATGGCCTTTTGCACAGTACTGTATATGCACCCTTTAGTGGTAAATAAGGTACAAAGGTGTACCTTTTGAAAAGGTACCGCCCCAGTGACAGCTTTTGTACCCTTTTTTGTGAGAGTATATGGATTGTCATATGGACATATGGATTACTTTTTTGTTTTTTAAGCTTGAATGCTTGAATCTACTTGTTGTATGATCCGCTTGGACATTTTGCTAGATAATGTTTTAGGTCCTACACAGAAATACAAATTCTTATGTAATTCGAGCAGCATGAGGGTTAGAAGATGACAAGAGAATTCATCAATTTGCACTGGCTACCAATAGCCGCTCGCATAAAATTCAAGACATACTGATGTCTGCTTACTATATATATATATATATATATAAATAAAATAATAATACCTTGACCCTCTAACACAAGATCTATGTATCCTATTTCTTATCTATCTACTTTTATTCTTTTTATTTATTATAACAAAAAAAAAGCTTGCTATATAGTATGTGTACTGCATTAGACTATCTGTGACTTGTCACAGTCACAGCTCTTTTGTTGGTTTGAATGCTTCTATTGTCCTCATTTTTAAGTTGTTTTGGATAAAAGCATCTGCTAAATGATTAAATAATGATTACATGTAAATGTAAATATGAGAATTGGAATTTTTGGATGAATTTTGATCTCTAAAGAAGTCCTTCAACTAAAAATGAAAATTATGTCATCATTTATGACATAAGATTGAATAAACATAATTTTTGAGCGATCCAATTCTTTAAGGCCTTTTATTAAAATGTGTTACTTATGGTCCATCTTGTCTGCTCATCACTACAATGTTCTGATGGCTCCCTAACCTCTGAGGTTTGTGTCCCACAGAAAGAGTTACTCCCAAAGAGCCATGTGATGCACAGGGACATTAAAACCCATAGTGGTGTAATTCACAGTGTACAACCGTTTACTTACAAACAAGACTGCATTGTCATTAATTGCACCTCCTGAGACAAGGGTGTGTTTAATGTGTGGTCTGGTTGCTTACACTGGGCCCACCAGCAGCCTGGTCCATGTACACAGTGGATTACAGAAATCAAAACATGTGTGTACAACCAAATCAAACAGCTTATGCAACAGGACTCCTAACTGTCAAGCATGGTTTTAAACAATTCCACTCATTCTCTGCTATAGGACAGAAAGAATTGTACAACATGTATGTTAGACCCTATACCATCTAAGCTACTAAAAGAGGTGCTTTCAGAAGTCATAGATCCTCTTCTGAATATGATTAATTTATCATTGACATTAGGATATGTCCCAAAAACCTTCAAACTGGCTGTTATGAAGCCTCTCATTAAAAAAGAAAACACAGCTTGATCCTGGAGAATTAGTTAATTACAGACCGAGTTCAAATTTCTCTTTTCTGTCAAAAAAAAAAGATATCTATGAGGATTTCCAGTCAGGATTGAGACCATATCATAGCACTGAGACTGCTCTTATCAGAGTTACAAATGACCTGCTCTTATCACCTGATCGTGGTTGTCTCTCTCTATTAGTGCTACTGGATCTTAGCGCTGCATTTGACACACACATTAATTAGGTCAACCAGAACACTTCCCATAACACCCGATGTACTTGTTACCTTGTAAGAAGAATGACATCTATGCTAATATTAGCCTGTTTTATTCTTATTCCGAGATCACTGTAGCCACCAAGATCCAGTCCGTATCCAGACCAGATGGTCACTGCAGTCACCTGGATTCAGTCCAAATGGTGGCTCAGCACCTAGAGACGACCTCTACAGCCCTGAATATCAGTAGAGACCATGTCAACTAGACGAGCCCTAGAGACAGAGCCCCAGTGAAGACCTCATCACCCCGACAGCCATTGGCACAAGACCACGAGAACCAGATGAGTCCTCTGCACAATCTGACCTGTGTTGCAGCCTGGAATTAAACCACACCATGCTGGTTTCATCTGACCAAAGGAGAACTGGCCCCGACTGAGCCTGGTTTATCCCAAGGTTTTTTTCTCCATTTCTGTCACGATGGAGTTTTGGTTCCTTGCCACTATCGCTTTTGGCTTGCTTAGTTAGGGACACCATTTCTGGCAACATTGTTGACTTGACTGAACAGAAACTATTGGAAGAGAACTGAACTGAGCTGGACGATGACATCACTAATCAAAGATGAACTGACTTTGATAAACTGACTGTTTTCTATTGTCCTCTTGCATTATCAGCACATGTTTTTTCCTGTTTAACACTGTAAAGCTGCTTTGACACCATCTGTATTGTATAAAGCGCTATATAAATAAAGGTTACTTAACTTGACTTGACATAGTTTTTCTCAAACATACTAACCTGGACTTGATGTATGGCTACAGATGCCCAGGCCAAATTCGCTGTTGCAACCTAAAAAATAGGGCACACTTAGCCAAAGACACAATACATGCACCTTGAGCACTCCATGAACACACAGCACTTCATAGTTGAAGTTCAACCTGACAGTTGAATATATACAAAGATTGAATACAATTACACATTCTTCATTATTGCTATTTACTACATAGAGAGATGGGTAGCTCTGGTCCTAGAGGGCCACTGTCCTGCAAAGTTTGGACATTACTGCATGAATACAGAGCAATGAATTCATTTGGAGCAATGTTTACAGTGCGTGTGTATTATGAAGTGCCTAGCTGTTGAGTGTACATCAGTTGTTCATTTATTGTTGAGGCACACTTGATAGCATCCGCTATAGTTTTGGACACCACTACAAATTGCTCCCTGCACTATATAATGGAATAGGAGGCATTTTTGGACATAATCTAAGTCTTGAATATTACAGGCAGGTGTGTTTGCTAAACTCTCCAGGACAGTGGGGGAAGAAGTCATCGAAACTATGAAATAACACAAACAGAATTATTCACAGGAATGAACCAAACATTTGATCATGTACTTTGCTTTTATAATGTATTGTGAACTGCTAGATGGCATATAAGGTCTGTAACATATTGAAACTTGTACTGATTAAGAGAGGACCAGCCATTTAAGATGTGGTCACATTACCGAAAAATTGGTGGGTTTTTTTGGGCAAAAAGGGTTAATTGTCTATTGTTAATTGTGTAGCGATGCATAAAACCCAGCTTATACAGAAGTCACTTTCAAAACAAGCAGTGTTGGTCACCGTGGCGAATCCACAAAAAACTGCTACGTGGGGAAGTCTTTTACCCCTCCCAGATTGCATAGATTCTCCCCGCAAAGATTTAACTACAGTAACTGTGGCCGCACCTTTAGACAGGAAGAGACTGACCAACACGTGAAGCAACCAATTACAGTTCACTTTGTTTTTATGGGCAGTTAAGGGGAGGGTTTATCTGAATGGATGGACTGAAATCAGACTCAGTATCAGTCCATTTTTCATTCACACTATTGTGAAATTAAAAATGATAATAATAAGTTATACGTGTACAGCTCTATGAGAATTTCTCATCTGTCAAAACTGCTGTCCATAGATTACATTCAACACAACCTAGAATATTCCTTACTTCTACTAGTCCTGAGGACAATATGCAGCCTGGCTAAATACATCGAGAGCAGACGTGTAACAAACACCAGCACTTTCTCCCTTAGAGTACCTCATGGTGGCTGAGGTTGAAGGGCTCACTGCCCAAGTGCCGGTGCAGCTCCAGGATAGCGATGAGGTCTCCGATGGCGGTGAGTATATAAATAAAATAATAATACCTTGACCCTCTAACACAAGATCTATGTATCCTATTTCTTATCTATCTACTTTTATTCTTTTTATTTATTATAACAAAAAAAAAGCTTGCTATATAGTATGTGTACTGCATTAGACTATCTTGTCACAGTCACAGCTCTTTTGTTGGTTTGAATGCTTCTATTGTCCTCATTTTTAAGTTGTTTTGGATAAAAGCATCTGCTAAATGATTAAATAATGATTACATGTAAATGTAAATATGAGAATTGGAATTTTTGGATGAATTTTGATCTCTAAAGAAGTCCTTCAACTAAAAATGAAAAATATGTCATCATTTATGACATAAGATTGAATAAACATAATTTTTGAGCGATCCAATTCTTTAAGGCCTTTTATTAAAATGTGTTACTTATGGTCCATCTTGTCTGCTCATCACTACAATGTTCTGATGGCTCCCTAACCTCTGAGGTTTGTGTCCCACAGAAAGAGTTACTCCCAAAGAGCCATGTGATGCACAGGGACATTAAAACCCATAGTGGTGTAATTCACAGTGTACAACCGTTTACTTACAAACAAGACTGCATTGTCATTAATTGCACCTCCTGAGACAAGGGTGTGTTTAATGTGTGGTCTGGTTGCTTACACTGGGCCCACCAGCAGCCTGGTCCATGTACACAGTGGATTACAGAAATCAAAACATGTGTGTACAACCAAATCAAACAGCTTATGCAACAGGACTCCTAACTGTCAAGCATGGTTTTAAACAATTCCACTCATTCTCTGCTATAGGACAGAAAGAATTGTACAACATGTATGTTAGACCCTATACCATCTAAGCTACTAAAAGAGGTGCTTTCAGAAGTCATAGATCCTCTTCTGAATATGATTAATTTATCATTGACATTAGGATATGTCCCAAAAACCTTCAAACTGGCTGTTATGAAGCCTCTCATTAAAAAAGAAAACACAGCTTGATCCTGGAGAATTAGTTAATTACAGACCGAGTTCAAATTTCTCTTTTCTGTCAAAAAAAAAAGATATCTATGAGGATTTCCAGTCAGGATTGAGACCATATCATAGCACTGAGACTGCTCTTATCAGAGTTACAAATGACCTGCTCTTATCACCTGATCGTGGTTGTCTCTCTCTATTAGTGCTACTGGATCTTAGCGCTGCATTTGACACACACATTAATTAGGTCAACCAGAACACTTCCCATAACACCCGATGTACTTGTTACCTTGTAAGAAGAATGACATCTATGCTAATATTAGCCTGTTTTATTCTTATTCCGAGATCACTGTAGCCACCAAGATCCAGTCCGTATCCAGACCAGATGGTCACTGCAGTCACCTGGATTCAGTCCAAATGGTGGCTCAGCACCTAGAGACGACCTCTACAGCCCTGAATATCAGTAGAGACCATGTCAACTAGACGAGCCCTAGAGACAGAGCCCCAGTGAAGACCTCATCACCCCGACAGCCATTGGCACAAGACCACGAGAACCAGATGAGTCCTCTGCACAATCTGACCTGTGTTGCAGCCTGGAATTAAACCACACCATGCTGGTTTCATCTGACCAAAGGAGAACTGGCCCCGACTGAGCCTGGTTTATCCCAAGGTTTTTTTCTCCATTTCTGTCACGATGGAGTTTTGGTTCCTTGCCACTATCGCTTTTGGCTTGCTTAGTTAGGGACACCATTTCTGGCAACATTGTTGACTTGACTGAACAGAAACTATTGGAAGAGAACTGAACTGAGCTGGACGATGACATCACTAATCAAAGATGAACTGACTTTGATAAACTGACTGTTTTCTATTGTCCTCTTGCATTATCAGCACATGTTTTTTCCTGTTTAACACTGTAAAGCTGCTTTGACACCATCTGTATTGTATAAAGCGCTATATAAATAAAGGTTACTTAACTTGACTTGACATAGTTTTTCTCAAACATACTAACCTGGACTTGATGTATGGCTACAGATGCCCAGGCCAAATTCGCTGTTGCAACCTAAAAAATAGGGCACACTTAGCCAAAGACACAATACATACACCTTGAGCACTCCATGAACACACAGCACTTCATAGTTGAAGTTCAACCTGACAGTTGAATATATACAAAGATTGAATACAATTACACATTCTTCATTATTGCTATTTACTACATAGAGAGATGGGTAGCTCTGGTCCTAGAGGGCCACTGTCCTGCAAAGTTTGGACATTACTGCATGAATACAGAGCAATGAATTCATTTGGAGCAATGTTTACAGTGCGTGTGTATTATGAAGTGCCTAGCTGTTGAGTGTACATCAGTTGTTCATTTATTGTTGAGGCACACTTGATAGCATCCACTATAGTTTTGGACACCACTACAAATTGCTCCCTGCACTATATAATGGAATAGGAGGCATTTTTGGACATAATCTAAGTCTTGAATATTACAGGCAGGTGTGTTTGCTAAACTCTCCAGGACAGTGGGGGAAGAAGTCATCGAAACTATGAAATAACACAAACAGAATTATTCACAGGAATGAACCAAACATTTGATCATGTACTTTGCTTTTATAATGTATTGTGAACTGCTAGATGGCATATAAGGTCTGTAACATATTGAAACTTGTACTGATTAAGAGAGGACCAGCCATTTAAGATGTGGTCACATTACCGAAAAATTGGTGGGTTTTTTTGGGCAAAAAGGGTTAATTGTCTATTGTTAATTGTGTAGCGATGCATAAAACCCAGCTTATACAGAAGTCACTTTCAAAACAAGCAGTGTTGGTCACCGTGGCGAATCCACAAAAAACTGCTACGTGGGGAAGTCTTTTACCCCTCCCAGATTGCATAGATTCTCCCCGCAAAGATTTAACTACAGTAACTGTGGCCGCACCTTTAGACAGGAAGAGACTGACCAACACGTGAAGCAACCAATTACAGTTCACTTTGTTTTTATGGGCAGTTAAGGGGAGGGTTTATCTGAATGGATGGACTGAAATCAGACTCAGTATCAGTCCATTTTTCATTCACACTATTGTGAAATTAAAAATGATAATAATAAGTTATACGTGTACAGCTCTATGAGAATTTCTCATCTGTCAAAACTGCTGTCCATAGATTACATTCAACACAACCTAGAATATTCCTTACTTCTACTAGTCCTGAGGACAATATGCAGCCTGGCTAAATACATCGAGAGCAGACGTGTAACAAACACCAGCACTTTCTCCCTTAGAGTACCTCATGGTGGCTGAGGTTGAAGGGCTCACTGCCCAAGTGCCGGTGCAGCTCCAGGATAGCGATGAGGTCTCCGATGGCGGTGAGGATAGGTAGACACAAAACAGAATGTACACGGATCCCTGAGTCCTGCCCTGTGCCATGAGGGAACCTCTCATCCTGCAGGAGAAACAGAGCACACAGGGATTCAGGCCAGTCCAGGGGGAGGAGTTTATATATACAGTACATACGTTCATCAATCATGGATGTGCTGTTCTTCAAACACTCCTTATCAGTCCTAAAAGTCTTAATAAATAACGTTTTAATAACATTTATTATTTAAACTGGAAACATATCATAACACACATGCTATTTTTATTTTTTACAAACAGTAGAGCTTCTGCAGCTGCTTCATTTTCTCAGTGTGTTAATAATTACAATATTTACAAATACTTTATGAGCATTTCTTTTTTTTATTCTATGCATTTTATTATGTATTAAAATAACTTATGACTATAAATTCAAAGCTAGCCTGGGATATTTATGGTTCCTGGCCTTCTAATTTAAATCACATTTTATTTCTAACCAAACGTTTACAAAGCTCTACTGTATGTCAGCATTATGTGAAAAATGTATTTGATACTCTATACAGCTATTTTGACATGCAAAGGCACCAACATATTTCTTTTGAAATTAAAGTATGAAGGATTTATTTACAACATATTTTACTGTTGCTAAAGTGTAGCCTCAAGCATACAGCTGAATGGTCTGTGTTACTGTGTTACTGAACAAAGGAAAACAGCATGTGGCTCACCCCCATGATGTCCTCTACAAGTAGTGTCTTGCGTGTCTTTGCAACGTGAGCGGCAATGGTGGTCCCAAATGTGATGGGACCAGAGGGGATGAGCCCAGGAAGCCCCTCTTTTGCCCCCGTCGGAGTAAACAAACATAAACTCTGTGACAGAGAAAGCAACATCAACAAAACAGCATGACGTTAAGGAAACTGTCCTGATTGGTCAATGTAACAATAATACATGTCTATTTAGGGTACTTTACAACTCTCATTATATGTTCCTACCATTGCTAACATACAACACTTGCCTGAAAAAAAATGTAATACTGTCTTAAGATGCAAAGTAATTACAATTATGATTAGTGGTATCCAATAAAACTGACAGTTATATAAAATGAAAATAACAAAATAATAAATAAATATTAAAAATAAAAACGTCATAAATTGTTGTATCCATTAATTGTTTCCCACATAACGTCTCGGTTACTTGTGTAACCCTTGTTCCCTGAAGGAGGGAACGGAGACGTTAAGTCAGTCATGACTGACGAATTGGGATCTCGCCCGAGACCCCAATCCCCTTCGAGTGTAAACTAAACAAGCCAATGACAGTTGGCGTGCGTGTTTCGCCACGCACACCCCGTCCCGCAGCGCGGGTATAAAAGGAGAGTGCGTGCAAACGCACATCAGTTTTTCACTGAGGAGCCGAGACTATGTGCCCCGGCCGTACAGCGGTGGTACAGCAACTGTGGCGACGGGACGTAACGTCTCCGTTCCCTCCTTCAGGGAACGAGGATGCCACTGCAGTCGGGGCCCCAGCCGGAGCCTCGCAGCTGCATTCCCATTGCACATGGTACCCCAGCTCCTGGCAGAGGCATCTGTTGACAAAACAACATGCCTGGATACTTGCCCAAGGGACACCCCTCTCCGAATAAAGGCAAGATCTGCCCACGGGCTGAAGGTCTGACGGCAGTACAGGGTGACAGAAACCCGGTAAGTGCCGTGCCATGGGATCGGTCGTAACCCACCGCCTTTCTTGGGTACGATGAAGTATGGGCTGTAGAAGCCCGACCTCATCTCGGCTGGAGGGACCGGCTGTATCGCGTCCTTCGCTAGCAGGACCGCGATCTCTGCACGCAAGACAGGAGCATCCTTGTCCGGCACAGAGGTGAACCGAATGCCCCTGAACTTGGGAGGGCGCCGGGCGAACTGAATCGCGTAGCCGAGTCTGATGGTTCTCAGGAGCCAGCGAGACGGCCTGGGGAGGGCTAACCAGGCCCCCAGCGACCGAACTAGCGGGACTAGGGAGACCACCGACGTACCCGCGGTGGGGCAGCGAAGTGGAGCACAGGGACCCGACCCGGAAGGCCGCGCGTCCCAGGGTGGGGTCTGAGTGCGCAGCGCGCGACTTACCTGGCTCCACTGCTGGGCAGGGGGCTCGTGAGGAGGCGTAGCGTCCTTGAACTGAACCCTGCTGCCCACTAGCGAAGGGAGAGGGGGCCGGCTGAGTGGAGACTGGGTCTCGTGCACCGCCGTCCTCACCCTCTTGGGACCCGGAGGCAAAGGAAACTGCTCTTTTATTGAAGTTTTGGGAACAAAAACAAACAGGAACAAAAGATTCTCCACCCGGCCCTCCTCGCTTCACGGGCTTGGCAGGGGTGGAGGCGGGCTGCGTCGGTTTCCTGCGGCCAGCTCCACGCTGCGGCCGTTGTGAAGGCTGCTGTTGTGGCCGCGCCGGAGCGGAGGTGGAGGCCGCAGGAGGGCGCCCTCGGCGACGAGCAGACAGAGGGGCTGCAGCCGGCGGTGGGGTGCGGACAGCAGCAGACCGTCGGGGCAGGATGTGTCGGAACGCCTCCGTCTGCTTCTGTGCGGTGGAGGACTGTTGGGCAGATCCCTCCATCGCTTCGCCGAATAGGCCGGCCTGGGAGATCGGGGAGTCCAGGAAGCGATGCTTGTCGGTCTCCCTCATATCCGCCCAGGTCAGCCATAGGTGGCGCTCCTGGACCAATGTGGACATCGTCTGACCCAGGGCCCGCGCCCGTGACTTTCGTCGCCCTAAGCGTGAGGTCCGTTGCCATGCGCAGTTCCTGCTGCACACCTGGGTCAGCACCACCCTCGTGCAACTGCTTCAACGCTTTGGCCTGGTGGACTTGCAGGAGGGCCATGGCGTGCAGGGCGGAAGCGGCCTGTCCAGCAGCACTGTAAGCCTTAGCCGTCAGAGCGGACGAGAACTTACAGGCCCTGGACGGAAGGCGTGGACTACCCCTCCAGGCAGCGGCGTTCTGCGGGAAGCTCTCACTGTAACCCTCAGGTCTCCCTGACTATGAACCGAAGTAGCCCTCCGAGAACCAGAAGAGCTTGAGCGGGGCATGGCCAGGGGGATACCCCCCCATTTAATGAGGAGGTATCTAGACCGCAACGTCGCGATGGTCATGTTCCCGCACTGAGAACATGACTCATCCATGAGCGCTGCTTCAGCATGCTGTAAGCCCAGGCACGAGAGGCAGCGATCATGACCATCAGGTGGAGGCAGGAAATGACCGCATCCAGAAACGCACGAGCGGTAAGCCATCTTTAAAAAAACGCCCGTCGCTCGTGGAGCTCTTTTAGATATTTGCTCTTTTAGAAAAAAAAGGAAACACTCTTTTAGAGAGAGCGCTGAAGCGCCCAGGGGAGGTCGCGGCGAGACCGCAGAATGGCACCTGCAGCACGCCGAAGATGAGCAGCACTGAGCCCCCGCTGATGCGCCGTAACACCAACGCCAGCTGTTTCTTCCAAACACTCGCGGAGATTCGTCCTGAGAAGGCTCGGCTCCGAAGCGAAAAGCTGATGTGCGTTTGCACACGCTCTCCTTTTATACCCGTGCTGCGGGGCGGGGGGGGCATGGCGAAACACGCATGCCAACTGTCATTGGCTTGTTTAGTTGACACTCTAAGGTGATTGGGCTCTCGGGCGAGATCCCAATTCGTCAGTCACGACTGACGTAACGTAGAACGTGACTGACTGAAAGGGAACTATAGATCAGCCAAAAGTGAAGCCCTTTTTAAACTGTGTTATCTGATACTTTCACAATACTAGCCATTAAAATAAAACCACTCAAGTGGATAAAAGAGAGGAAATGAAAATAGCAGGGGTCTCAAGTGTTTTAATTCTATAGAAATTCCAGGCCATTTTGAGACAAACAGAACATGTTCATGACCAGTTAAAGGTTTGCACTCACTTGGCTGCGTTTATGTTTCTCGTGATCATAAGAACCTTTTGATTTAAAGACCTCTAATGCTTCAGTGCTTAGAAATTAGTTTCGTTGACAACATATAGATTGTTTCTAATTTATAAGCATCTGAGCAAAAACCGGCTTATTTGAAGAATCTAAAATATAATATAGCTTCCCCCGGGGGGCCCCCATCTTTCATGCTTCCTTAAATTAATGTTGTAGTTACTATACTATTATTCAAAAATGTGGAAAATAGCAATAATAAAGAATAAAGAGCAGCCGTGTGAAAGGTTTTGACTGTTTTTTGAGTGTATTTAAAGGAACACGCCACTATTTTTGAAAATAGGCGACTTTTCCAACTCCCCTAGGGTTAAACAGTTGAGTTTTACCGTTTTCGAATCCATTCAGCCAATCTCCGGGTCTGGCGGTAGCACTTTTAGCTGTAGCATAATAATCGGAGAGAGGCTGAATGGATTCGAAAACGGTAAAACTCAACTGTTTAACTCTAGGGGAGTTGGAAAATGAGACTATTTTCAAAAATAGTGGAGTGTTCCTTTAATGACTTCAACATCCACTAAACACTGTTCAACATGTATTAACTCAGAACAGAAAATACTTACATTGTTGCATTCTCCAAGGAAGTAAAGTGCAAATCCATCAGCTTTTGTGGCTGTGAAGAAGAAAAAAAAACTCCTAAAATGTGTCACAGACATCGTGTGTTAGGCATGCACATTCAGAATGGTTCAATCCCAAATCATTAACTGGACAAAAATGTACCCATATATTCTGAATCTTTTTATGGCATTTGTAGGAAGAAAATAAATAGCAAAGCGCTAATACATACTGTATGACTAATGTTTTTAACAGATATAATGCCACTTGCATTTGAAGAAGATCCAAGAATCCCAAAGGAACAAAATAATTCAAATTAAAAATTCAAATCAAATAAATATGTGGTGTTTGCACCAGGATCAGAAATTAACCAGGACTTGGAGACAGTGTTGTTCCAGTCCTCTAATCTGGGGTGCGTTTCCCAAAAGCATGGTTAGCTAACTATGGTCATTAGTTCCATTGAACTCCATTGGTAACGACGGAACTTACAACCATAGTTGCTTTTTGGAAACTTACCCCTGATTGGTCAGGCTGTATTCTAATTAAGCCATATCACTAAATTCACATAATTTATTTCAATTAATTGATTCAATTTATGAAATCATAAAACCAATTTATGACATAAATGGACAGAATACTGTATGTTTCAGTGTTGTTTTAATATCATTGATACTATTATAGTTTTTATTCATATTTTGGATAAAAGGGGGCCAGACTGAATCCCAGCGCTCTGCAGTCCTGCAGCATGCAGATGAAGCGTGGGTGGATGGGAAGTGACAGGCTGAGCACTGCTCCATCAGTGTGTGGAGGAGAGAGACGGGAAACACCCGTACTTAGACCTTTTAACCTGGATTCACTACACCTCCATCTGTACGGCTCTCTACAGGCAGCTACGCTCCTTTTATGTTTCAGCTGCACAACACTGCGCTGTTTATGTGGGCAGTGTGAATGCTCATTATTATAATTTTATACTAATACATTATGTTTATTGCAAGTATGCAAATACTGCAGTAAAGTGCATGGGTAATTTGGGCTCTGTGAGTGTTTGTGTGTGAAGACAGAAAGGCTATCACCTGTTTTGATGATGTTGCACAGCTCATAAAGCAGTAGTTTGTTGTCTCCTCCAGTGTCCAGCCGCTGCTCCATGTAGCTGTTGAGCTCATATACGACGCTCTGCATATTCGTGTCCTGGTACTGCTGGACACAAGAAAGACACACATACACATGCACTGTATACTACACAAGACGGACAGAAGTACATGGAGACCTCCTTCTAATTAGATAGTATTAAGGTTGCCTTTCACTATTATTATGAAAAAAAAATAGAAGTAATTAGAAGGGGTGTCCATATTTTAGGTCATATACTGTACACTTCAAAAGCCTCTTATGCTCACTAAGGCTGCATTTATTTGTACATAAAAACAGTAATATTGTGAAATGTTCCTGTAATTTAAAATAACAATTTTCTATTGCAATATATTTTAAAATGTAATTTATTCATGTGATGCAAAGCTGAATTTTCAGCATCATTACTCCAGTCTTCAGTGTCACATGATCCTTCAGAAATCATTCTGATATGCTGATTTGCTGCTCAAGAAAGATTTCTTAATGTTATCAATGTTGAAATGCAGTGGAAGTTATGCATGCTTTTAAAAAAATTATTATTTGACGAATAGAACGCTCAAAAGAACAGCGTTTATTTGAAATAGGCCACTATTGTAAAAAGGAAAAGTCTTTACTGTCACTTTTGATAAAGTATAATAATAACAATATCAATTTCTGGGGAAAAAATAAATACAAATTATTTATAAAAAATCTGGCCCCAAATTTTTGAATGGTAGTGTAGTTATTTTATTTTTTTGCTGAAAGTTTGACATTTTTGGATGGTCCACTGAATGAGGTACTTATATGTATCCATCTACACAGGAGACTCAATTCACCATTAATATCAATAGAATTTAGCATTAATTAACAAAGCAGCATAAACAATACATAATGCCCACAAATAGTGGGTAAAACAGTCCATTTAATTAGACTGATGTCTTGCTTCATCCTCTATTCTGGGTGGATGCATTATATTGGACTGCCTTAATTTTGGCTTTAGTTTAGGGACCAATTCTCACTATTAACTAGGTGCTTATTAAGATGCATATTACTAGCATATTGGCTGTTTATTAGTACTTATAAAGCACATATTAATGCCTTATTCTGCATGAGCATATTTTAGATCCCTTAATCCTACCCCATACCTAAATTTAACAACTACCTTAATAACTATTAATAAGCATCCAAATTAGTTAATAGTTAGTTAATAGTGAGAATTAAATGTGACCAAATTAAACTAAAATGTGACCAAATTTTGCCAAAAGAAGAACACAGCCTAATCATAAACATCCAATTAATACAGAATGCTGTAGTTTTTCCTCTCACATTGCATGTGTGGTCTGTGTATATTACAGAAATGAGTTCTAAATCAAACTTTTATGTATTTTAAATGGAGAGTGGATGGAGGATGTCTATTTCTGTCCCTGTGTGAAAGGTCAGAGTGGGCCGGTGGATGAGGGGTGTGTGAGGTGCTGCCCCATGGGAACGGCTCCCTACACATCCTGTTTATGCAGACGATTATGTGACGTCTCTACTGTCCTTCTCCAAAAAGTATTTGTTTCCACAGCCCACCCTCCCCGTCCTCTCCTCACGATGATGTTAAAGGTTCTTTATGGAACCATTTAGACAAAAAGGTTATTCTATGGCATCGTGAAGCACCTTTATTTTTAAGAGTGTAACTATTGTATTATTTACTGCAACTTGGAATTTCTCACTTGTATTTAAAAATACCCTTTTGAAACCAAACATAAGCAAAGCATGCTGGGTTTTCTAGGGTTTTCTGAGTAACAAAGCATAGTACGCAAACAGTACAGATGACTTTATTTTTACAATTAAAATCAACAAATTGTTGTGCATTAAGAAAAGTCAACCAAAAAGTGTTAGTTAGGACATTTGTTAGGTTTTAGAGTGTGCAGAAAAATATTGGTAAAAATAACCTCCAATTTTTTTTAACTGATATTAGTAGTAGCCTACTTTTAATCAACATTAACACTCCAAATTAACATTTCTCACAAGTGCAACTGGGATTTTCTTATATCTGAAAGGTAGTTTTTGAAAGCAGACCTGTGATGTCTCAAAATGCAGTTACACTTTATTTCGACAGTCCATTTTCGACATTCCACAAACTATTTGAAACTACACGTCAGCTAACTCCTATTCATTTGCAACTATACTGTGTGTCAACCAACTCTCATTAGAGTATTGGAAGACGGTTAGAGTAAATAGAACAAGTTGACATGTACTTGCACATTTTCTTATAGTCAGCAGAATGTCTGACCACCAAAATAAAGTATCAGCAGATATTAAGCAGACAGTCTACTAATACTCTAATGACTGCTATGTAGTTGCAAAGTTATTTATAGTCAAAAATAAATGTCTAAAGCGGACTATCAAAATAAAAGGCAAGCTAAAATGCTTCCAGTATAGAAAGATCACTAAGTTTTAGAACAGAGAAGTGTCTCTCTGCTCAGGTTCTGCTGGGAAGCTAAGGGAGGGCAGTATTCCACTTTGCGCCATGCACAGGTCACCTGTGCTAACGTCATACTCCTTCCATTTCTGGTATTCCCAGATGGAAATGTTTGGTAATCAATCCAGCTCTCTGTGGGCAAATATCAGCTCCAGATCATTTGTAAACTGAAATGAAAACTCGGCATGAAAGGTAAAACAGATATCAGGTGTTTGAACAGAAGAAAGCTGTTAGCATTCGCATTTATCTCAATGGAAGCTACTTGGCTGGTGCATATAGCCCCTGAACTACACAACCCTGACGTTGGGCACACTGTTACGGAAACAACAGATACAATAAAAGGACAAAAAGGATCAAACAAAATAAAACAAAACACAACACACAAAAAACACAAAGAAAAAACAAAAACAAAACAAAGCAAAACAAAACACAAAACAAAACACAAAGAAAAAACAAAACAAAACACAAAACACAAAGAAAAAACAAAAGTAAAACTGAACAAAACAGAAAACTAAATAAATAGGCACTGCTCTTGATTAATGGTGGATGTGGAGATGTTTGGGAAACCCATTTGGAAACAATTTACACAAAACATTTTGGTGTAGAAATTACGCACAATTTAACAATTTGTTTATTTTGTCTATTTATTTATTTGATCAAGGATAATACACAGCAAATACATGATTGTTAATTTCTTGGTGTTACTTGTGAGTGTTGAGATTTAGAGTAGTAGTAACACTCCTCTGTATTAGACATAACACTGCTGGAGTAAATAGCATGAAAGTGTTAGTGTTGTTATTGGCAGTAGTGTTTTTCAACTTTAATTAACATTTCACACTGCCACGCCCCTTTTTTCAACTTTGTTTCGCATGGACGGCCGCGATTTTGTCATTGCACAATTCCTCCGTAGAAGCAAGGTGAGTTATGTTTTTTTATTACACACATTTTTATAAGTTTGATAAACCTTCATATATGTCAAATGATTGTGCTAAGGTAATTTCAACAATGTTAGGTAATTCCTATGATTTTACTTCAGTTCGCTTATATGAGTAAAACATACAGGTTTATTTACTTTTGTATTTAAACTTTTTTTTTCCTTCATACCTATCATTACTGCAGTTCGATTTAGCACTTAAAATGGCGCCATGAGACATTCACGTGTGTGTTTTTTCTTAACTTTTTAAAACATAGCGTATACATATTTGTATGGTCTCCTCAGAACCTTTCATTCCCATTGTCCAGTAAATGTTGCACAACTTTGCATACCACTTCAAAGCACTTACAGACACGTTTTATTGTCAGGGACTTGATGTTAGTTAGAAAATTATAATGAAAGATTGGGAAAAAATAATGGGGATCAGAAACTAGTAACCACATTCTTCAGAATATCTTCTTTTGTGTTCAGCACAAGAAAGAAGTTAATACGGGTTTGGAACAACTTGAGGGAGAGTAAATGATAGAATTAAAATTTTTGGGTGAATTAACATTACCCATTAAGTACATGGTAAGAATTTTAACATAATTGATTTATTATGAATAGGGTCTGAGTTTAAAATTAAGGAAAAATTTATACTTTAAGACTTATGTTTAAAGTTTGTCTTCATCCTCAAACTATCCTTTAGTCTCTTGTTTACCAGTGTGCCCACCGCAAGACTGAAAAACAGAAGAACAACTCCACAAACAAATGTATTTCCTTATTTTGGAGGACCCATATTCTTAGAATGGATATGTCCGTAATTCTTTCAGATTAAATATTGATGCGAAATCTATTTGACAGTTTGACTTTTGGTAAATGTTTGGATATGTCTTCATGCTTAAATGTATAGTTTTTGTGTTTTTGCTATTTGTGTTTTTAGGAGCACTTCTATGATGCATCAAGTGACTCAAGGTACCTGGTTTGGCGTTTAAAGACTGTACAGAGAAGTACAGACTAGAACCTGGTGACGGTAAGATTTAACAGATTACAATCATATAATCATAGCTTTGTTGCTATTTGGCATTACCAGAGTTTCTGTGCTTCATAACATTCATTTTGAATTTGTCCAATCAAATTGCTTTGCAAAAGTACAGTTTTATTAAATTCGTTTTTATAAAATGAGTTGTCAAACCAGTTGTTTTCATAATTTGATGGGCAGATGTTTTATTGACCTTTATTTTTAGACTGAACAGGGTAGGACATCTCTGCCCCCAACATCACAAAGCCACAACAAGGGAGCAAAGTTCAGCCTCCATGCAGCTGAATATTTAGTGAGATTTCTTAAGGTGCGTGTCTTAATTTATTCTTAAAGAGTTGAATTAACACTGATGAACTTGCTGTGCAGGGTCATCAGGGCCACTAAGCTAAAGACAGACTGAATGAGTAGGTCATGAATCACACTGTGCAAGTGTGTGTGTGTGTATGTATGTGTGTGTGTGTGTGTGTGTGTGTGTGTGTGTGTGACAGCGGGGCACAGGATCTGTCCAGATGTAGGATTTCTCTGGAGGCAGAGCGGTGAAAGGTTTGGGATTGATCAATTACTCGAAGATAGCATGTGTGTGAGAAGAAAACAGGGCCAGGAGAACGCTAGGTGGGAATGAGGTGGAGGGAGCTGACGTCACTGGGGCCCTGGGGGTCCTTGTTAGTCTCCACGAAAGCACAGACACATCATCACATACTGTACATCAC